CGGTGACATCATACACCAAACATGGGATGCCGGCATTAGGAAACAATGAAAGTTGACAGTGAAGCGATATTTCTTGACATTTTAAAACAAAATTGACCCGACATCTCCACTTTGACTCATGTACAGTAGCTTTGAGACAAGCTATTTCTGTTTGTGAACACGAATGACATTGGTATTTAACGTTTCACTGGGGAAGGGGCTGTTCTGGGTCGACAAGGTTTAGGCGGCTTACGATCACTGATCAATAGGAGCAGACAGATGTACAATGGAACGTATGTCAGATATTTACACCTGTGCTACAGTGTCGACTTGAGTGTTCTGTTGATACAAATAGAGCCAAAGTGTACTCGCTGTGATCGGGGCTGTTCAGAAGCTGACAGAGGTGGTGAGGGGGTTATTTCCTGAGTGACTGGGTTTCTGCGGTGCAAATGTTAAAGGGAAATGTCACAGATTTTAGCGTTTACATTGGTTTTTGTGCCCAGGGCATTTCAGTCAGTAGCTAAAAACTATGTGCATCACTCTCGTGTAAAGATACAAACTAAAAACTGGAAAACACAAGTTTTTGATTGGAGTTGGAGAATCAGGTCGAGCTTAGTTTATTGATGGCGTGCTGATTTTGAACCTCTGAGATTTATACAACATGTCACACCTGTCAAAGTAAACAGCTTAATTTTGGTGGTAACCTTTGGACAGAAGTCGGTGCCTGCTTCACTGTCCGTAGGGCAGGCCCTGACTTTACCTTCTGAAGAAGTTCAAGCATTTTCTTGCTTCCTTTGAAGAAAAGACTGCTGCAATCAGTCAGTGAGTTTAAGACTGGATGTCTAATATAAACTACTTGACTGCAGCAAACCCCAAGATGATTATATAATGCAGAATACAGCATGCCTTTATTATACATTTATTTGATTTTATTATTATATTTTTACTTTTTGAAGGGGTTATTATTTCTCCGGAGTGTATAAACACATTTCAATATGAGCTGGTAATAATGATAAATGAAAATGATGAGTTTTTCAGGTCATCATCTCAGTACGGAGGCAAAGAAGGAAGGACACTCTTCTGTCTGTCCTCGTTCCGGAGACTCATCTGTACCTGCAGAGGGCGCTGTAGGGTTTTGGTGAATTATTACTGCATATTGGAAAGTTGTTGCACAATTAAATGAAATCATCAGACTGGGGAAAAACTGCTCGGTGAGTACAATTTCAGCTTGTTTTAAAATTTTGCATCATATTTGTACATATTTGTATAACATTTTATATTATACTTGGAATCACCCATTAATTAAGTTAAATCCACTGAGTTGTATATATTTTCAATGTCTCTAACAGAAATGGTTGTAAATGACATTAAATATGGGCTTAAATAAAAGCAGTTATGTTTGAAACAACCATTGATGCTGTCTTCCCCCGTTTCAGTGAAAATGTGTGTTAGGATTTGTAGACTCAGTCCTCTAGAGGGCAGAGTTGGATAGAGCAATGGCATCTACCAGAGGACACCAAGAGAAGATGCGCTTAAAGGGGAAAATTATATAGCATCAGTAATATCAAAGTAACTCATTTCAGCATTTGATGTGTGAGTACATAGAGGTAAACGTGTGTTTATCTGCCAGAGGCTGTAATCTTTGAGGAACCGGAGATTTTTACAAAGTAACTAACTTTATTTTTGTTACCTTCACTGCAAAACAAATGATGTCATAAAAACATTTGTATTTTTGAATGAAACTAATCATATGTTGCCATTAAGATCTTTAAGTCACTATGTCTTTGCTGTCAAAAGGGAACGGAAAGTCTTTATAGAGAACTGTAAAGGCAAAAATCAGTAAGTGTGTCAGGGTGGCCGCTAGATGGCAGAGGACTCACTAACCTGCACATTCAGTCACCTTCCCTGTGATTCTCCTGGGAGAGGCCTAAGGAGAGGATGAGTCATCTTACTTTGAATCCAGCCTTTGAAACACACAACCAAATGCCAGTCATTTACTGCGAGCAGCCGCTGGCTTATGTTTGTGCCATCTGTGTCTGATGTGCGATCAGAGGTTTTCTTTAGGCTGCCGCAGTCGTTCTAATTATAATCTGCAATTTAATCCCCAGAGGGGATGTGCCATTCATCTCTTTTGTATTTAAACTAGTGCATCAACAGATAGATCAGCTATAATTAACCCTTTCATACCTGCTGTGAAAACATTTATCTGTAGTTTTTTTTTTTTTAAATACTAAAAGGCTTAAAATCTTTAAATTCATTACTGCATTGTTGTGCTGCATTTTTAAAGGTTACCTTTAGTTACATGTATCTGGCTGGTGTTGCACGTACTGTACTTAAACCTGAGTAACATGAGACAGCAGCTACTGAAACAGGGAGCAGGGACATCCCTGAATCATCCATCCTGTAGGGGAGATGCAGGGAGGTGAAGTCTGTCACAGAGATGGACCAACAAATATACACAAAATAACTAAAAACATCATTCTGGACAAAGGCTCCATTGTCCTATAATAAAATAAGCCACCTAAGGTCAAGGGTGTTTATATTAATTGCTAGCACTTTATAAAACTTGTATACACAAATGAACTTTGAATAGTGATTGTGGACACATTTTCTGCTCAGTCTTGTGAAGAAATGCGAAGCAGCATGTTCCACATGATGACAAGTAAGTTTTAGGTTAGTGGTACAGCTACACACCATGAAGATAAGAGCTTTAATTGAAATATTAAATTAATTCAGATGTAACTGACTGATGTGTCCTGGACACTACCAAGCGGAGGAAAGTAAATACAGTCCAGAGTGCTCGGTCTGCTGAGGGAGAGCTTGTGGTCAGTGTCCAAATAAGGGCAAAAAGCCAGAAACAGTGAACGCTGCCAGAAGAACATACAAATTCTCAGTGATCCAGGTCGTAGTATGCTAAAAAATACTTGATCCAGGTCGTAGTATGCTAAAAAAAAACTTGGAAGAGGGCATCTGGACGTAGTTTTAGGTAGAAGGTGTTTTACCTCTCATCCAAGAGGCTTCATCAGTTCTGTCTGACTCAGTCGCTGGGGTTCCAGTCCTTTGGCCACTGTTGGCCGTCGGAGGACTGAAACACCACCCAGTGGGATAAATACCTTCACCAACACTGCTCACCACCAGTAGGACAGAACTGATGAAGCCTCTTGGATGAGAGGTGAAACGTCTTCTACCTAAAACTATGTCCAAATGCTATCTTCTAAGTTTTTTTTTTCAGTGTTGCCAGAAGAACGTGAGTCTGAGAGACAGGTGCAATAAATATGACTTCCTCCACTTCACCGATCTGTGTGGGCTCCCACTTCACACTCAAGTGAACGAGGTTGTGACTTTAGTGTACTGCTCTAAAGGAAGCAGAGTTCAACACTAACTTGGCTGGCTGATGGCTGATCTTAGCCCAAACACACATCAAGACCATATATGGAGTACTCTGGAGTTAATGTCCAGTGACTCCACAGTAAAAATGACACTGCAGGGGGCGTCTTGGTTCTGACCATGAGCATCAGCATCGCCGATCTTTATTGCAAGTCATTCCCCAGTTTTCTTTCCACACTCATTTCTTATCTTATTCTGTGTAGTCTAAAAAGGCATAAAAGCCCAAATAATATTAATATAAAGCTATACAGCCGGCAGCCAGTTAGCACAAAGACTGAGAACAGCTAACTAGACTGTGTCCAACAGTAATAAAATCACCTAGCAGCACTTCTAAAGCTCACTAATTTGCACTGCCAGGCTGTGTTTCCCCTTGTTTCCAGGGGCTGACTGACTGTAGCTTCATGTATACATGGACAGATTACGAGACAACTGGCCCCTGGGCACAGACACGTGAAAGGCACTGACCTCTCTTATACTTCAGGTTTCACAGTTCGAGCAGCATAGTTTTATTAAGTTTGTGTCTTGTGCTTGTTTTGACTCTCTTTTTAGACGTTTTGTGCCACTTCTTTTGCTTGCTTTACATTTCTTCAGTAACCCATCCATGCATATACAGCCTTGAGAGTGGTATCAAACTTTATTTTTAAAAGCTCCGTATCTGCAGCTCTGTTGGACAGATTTATTGTATTCACTTCAGGATATAGTAGACATCATTGACTCTTTGTTGCCATATTTTGTAGTTTATGAAACACAGGAACAAAACGGTAACAGACAAGATATAGTACAGCAAATATAAAATACAGTAAACCTTTACACAGAATTGCATATGTTGATATATATTGGTTTCTGGTTTAACACTGAAACAATAGGTACAGTAAACACAACATCCTAAAGACAATATAACTGTGCTGACTGTAAACACTGAAAACATGAGTTAATAACATGCACACAATGTTATGACAGTTTTCACAGCTAGAGTTACATAGAGACATTTAATTAAGGTGTAGATTCACCTCTGTATTTTGAAAAAGCACAGTGAGAATATAATTATTTTTCTTTCAAAATCAAAGCACTACACATCGCTACATCTATTATCTGGGGCTGGTGTATTTTGATGTTAAGTTGCTTCATTGGATTTATGTGCACACATTTTGATATGAGTCTCTAAAATCAACAATTCCAAGGTATTTTACCAGTATAACCAAGACATATTTGGAAACTCATGCTTCTGTATTTATGTTTCAGCTGTCAGGCAGCCTGTGTGCTGGATGTTCTATGTGCTGCTATTTCTGACTCTGTATACGAGACTGGGTGGCTGGTGTTTGTTGATTTGTTCTGGGTTGGGCACTAATGCCTCGAAGCATTCAGTAGACATTAGCAGTTGTTTCCCCGGGGCGATGCTTCTCGGCTGTTATTAACTCTCCAGTATGGCTGGCTGTGTTTTTATGTTGCCAGTCTGACTCACTCTGATCGTATCAGTGCATCAAACACACAGATTTATTTTTGGAGTTTGAATTCACTGTCATGAAAATCTGGTCTAAACAAGAATTAGTACAATTGGCATTGTAGTATTTTTCTTTTATATGATTAACCGTTTTAAGGTGTTCACACTAGACCAGTGTCCTAACCAGGGGTATTATTATTATGATTAATATTATTCTTATTGTCAGCCTTTTATCTTTGGTTCCTTCTTGTGAAACACTGAGTCCTTTACCTCTAAAATTCATTTAAACTAAGCAATTTGTGAGGGAAAATCACTCTTCAATTACACTTCTAATAACTTGTGCATCCTATTATCAGGGGTTGCATGTAACTATTAGTTTGTATTAAGGAGTTAAAAGCAAAAAAGGTTGGGAACCACAGTAGTAAAGAGCTGAAGCTGTGACCAACCCTGCTGTTGCACTAACAGAGGACTCCTTTGTTCACTTGTGGAATGTTTGTTAGATTTAAATGAACTTTAGCTTATTACAGTATTTATTTTACTGAACCAGAAGTGGCTATACATCTGCACACCCCCTGGGTGATGTTATATACTGATAAATTCACTCTCAGAGGAGAAGTTCTGAGATTCAATTCCTGAGAAATGTCTTCAGCAGCTAGCAAAAGCAGATAGATGGCTGATGAATTAAAGGAAAAACTAACATAAAGTGAACAACTGATCTTTTGGTAAAGTGTCTCCAGAGCAGCATCAGAAGCTCCTCTGTTGGAGGCAGAAAACATCATTCCTCCAGAACATATTCCCTCAGTGTTTCACTTATTAAGCCATTCACTAACCTAGAGCTGCAACCATTAGTCAGCTCACTGATAGAAAATTAACCAGTGGCTATTTTGATGCAACAATCAGCAACATATTCTGGTTCCACCTTCTTTAATGTAAGGAACTGGTGCCTTTCTTTGTCATACACGATAATAAATGGAGTATCTTTCAATATCTCTAATAATCAGAGATCTGAGGATAATTATTCTGCACTACTGGATTGTATAAATATTAAAAATGCATTTCTTTGTCCCATGGAAAGTACAGTGTGTGTTAAATCAATATTTCATGTGCATTTATATTCACGGAAACCATTTTATATTAGTTTCATCAATATGTACAGTGTGTACGTGGTCACTGATCAGTATGAAGAACTGCCTGGATGAACCATCTCTCCCTATTATCTTGTTACTGAGAAACAAATCTCATTTAATAGGTAACTAAAGTGATTTACAGTAAAAGTACAATGTATGACAAAAGTGTGTTAATAAGTCTGTGATCATCCTGAATCCAAAATGTATGGTAAAACAGAAGGTTTAGAGATTTTGGCAAAGCAATATTAAAAAAAACACTCTAATAAAAGGCCAGTTAGTGAAAACCACACAGTATTACTTCAGCATTAAATCACACACAAATCTAAACAAATTTCAATTAATGAGATTGCATAAGAGTAGTAAAACAAGAGTGCAATGCCCTGAAAAGGCCAATCAAACCAACCAGGAATGTCAAATAAGGCATAAATACTGAACAACTTCGTGTAGTGACGACTCCCAGTGCAAAAAAATGCTGACTACAGTAACTTTTATTTAAAGTGCAGCCTTGGGTTATTCAGAAGCAAGCTAAACTAAGGAACAGCAACATCCAGAAATGCTTTAATGCTCTTTGTCTCATTTTTTTTGCATAGCGACTTCGTGCAGGGACAGCCAGTACTTTGCAGCAAAAGACTAGTGAAAATAATAACAGCAGTAAAAACGTTTTTGATGTCTCCTGACAAAAATATAGTTTTTGTATCTTCTCAAATGCTACTTTTTGCAATGAAATTGTGATCCTTTACATTTCAATCCTGTATGAAATACAGTAAATGCATTCACTGAAATACTGTAGGTCATAAACAATTTGAACCACATTTCTACACATTAACATGATTCATTTGTGTGACATTACACTAATAGTTTATTTTATACTTTTTTTTTATCAACAGTACATGCTACTGCAACAGTGCCACAGACTGTGAGAGACAGATAAGGCTTTAACTTTGTTTGGAGGATACTTACTGTACTTTTGAATCTTGCTCACATTCAAAGCATTCAGGCTTGTTTTTATTTTGTGATGTATCCACATGGGTGAAGCTGCTGACTTTTACAGCATCATGGGGGTATCAGAGCACACAGAGCTGACGGACTCTGACTGCCTTCTCTCCCTGTCGTCACCCTTCCGGTCCTTGTCTTCTTTGACTTTTGGGTTCAACCTCCCGTTCTGTTCGAGCTGATCTTTGCATTGCAGTAAGGCCACATGTCTGTAGGGGAAGCCTCCTCCTTCCACTTTTTCTTGCCCGGTCTCCTCGTGTGCCTGAGGGATGCTGATGGTTGAAGAGTGGAGGCTGTCTCTGGGGCTGTTCTTGTCCAGGCCATGTCCTGGACAAAAAGTGCAGCGGCAGGGTGTGAAATAGAGGTAGAGGAGAACCATCACTAGACTGACCAAGCATGCTACCAGGGTGGTGTAGGCTGTTTTCATGTTCTCTATTCCACCACTCATGGTGGAATTAAGCACCACTACAGTTACATACAATGTCTCATTGATGGAGTCGCTTGTGGCGTAGCAGGTGTACACCCCTGAGTCTTCTAACTCCAGGGGCCCGATCTCGAGGCTCCCATCACGGCGCATCACAGCAGTCTTGTTTGCTTGAGACACTAGGATGTTTCCTGGCAGTGCCCAGGTCTTCGTCAAGTCCTTCTGCTTGGTGTCGCAATCCAGCACCAGCTTCTGCTCCAGATAGGCTACTTCATCCATAATTTTGACCTCACTGCAGTTCAAACTGACCTTGTCCAGATCCAGTATGGACATTTTCTCTTTCTGCGGGCCTGGTAACACACAGGTGTGGCTGTCCCTGAAGTCAATGGCAGAGCTGAGCTCCTTGAGCTGCCAGTGTGCCACAACATCATACAGCTCACAGCTGCAGGACAGAGGGTTGTTGTGGAAGTACAGACCATTCTTGAGCCAGGCAGGCAGAGCCTGAAGCTCATGGAGGGGCAAGGCTTTGATTCGGTTGGAGGACACATCCAGCAGTCTAAGCATTTTCATCCGGCTCCGCTCCTTCACCAGTTCCAAGGGGAAGCGAGAGATCTGGTTCCCGCTGAGGTAGAGCCTCTGAAGCTCGAGGAGGCTCGAGAAGGCAGTGCGATCTATCTGAGAGATGCGGTTGTTGTAAAGCAGCAGCACCTCCAGCTGCTCCAGCTGCTCAAAGATGAACTCATCCAGCATGCGGAGGTCATTAGAGGACAGGTCCAGGTAACGAAGATTTTTCACATGCGCAAATGCCTCAGACGAGAGAAAATTTAAGCCATTGTGGCTGAGCATCAGAGTGTGCAGTGTGTTGAGTTCTTCAGGGGCCCACCCAGCAAGCAGCTTAATGATGGAGTTGAAGCTGAGATCCAGAACCGCTATGTACTGAGGAAGAGTGGTGGGAACATTGGTTAGATTCATCCTGGAACAGCTGACAATGTTGCTGGCACACACACAGGTCTTGCTGCAGTCCAGGGGGCTCCCCAACAGCTGTACACTGACCCCCAACAGCAAAGCCAGGGGTAGAACTCTGATAAAGCTCCTTGTTTTTAGCACTGCTTCGTTGGCAGGATGGGCAATACAGAGTGAGCCAGCCATCATGTATGGATTGCAAACTGCAGGAGCCTGAAAGTGTTCACCTAGTCATCACAGTGCAGAGTCCTGGAGCTGGAAGGACACATTGTAGAATGAGATCAGTACCATCACTGTTTTGCTGAAGATTGCTTGTCTAGGGTGGATAAGACGTTTGTTTAAAATATACAGAGAACTAAATCTGGAAGGTTTGTGAGAAAAGAGACGTCACAGCCGTTTTAGCCATACTGCAAGCAATTTCGAGACGGTCCCTAACTACAGCTAGTCATTTTCCCTGTAGTCCGTCATACACACAGAGGCTTCAAAGCAAATACGCTTAAACGCTGCATCATGGGTATGAAATGCCATCAGTGCATCATCAGAGAAGGTTTCTTCTGTAATGCACAACAAGTGCGGTAACGATCGATTAAGTCTTTTAAAAGTTATTGAAGATTAGCCTCGCTGGATGTCTGAATATCGGACGTCAAAGGTGCACACTGAGATGACTGATTCTTGCAGCACCGCAGGCTCTAATGCGCTGCAGCAGCCAAAAAGTTGTGGCTGCACAGCCAGAAGTGTCACCATTACGCCATCACTGATTTAGAGGGATCAATCTCATCAGGAAATTAAACAAAACATTCTACACATCCTAAATGACTATTAAAATACGGTAGTTGGTTTCATACGCCTCCTCCCAACACCATCTTATTATCAAATCTGCTCACTGTGGCAGTAACGTCAGTCCAGAGCAGGCACAAGTGTCCGGCCACAGTTAGTGCTATAACCTACCTTTGGTCGGTTTCTTAAGATCCGAAGCAGAAAGGAGGGGACCTTTAACAGTCCAGTCTTGGGGATGATCCACTACATAACAACCTCATCCAACCCACAGCAGCAGCAGCGATCTGCTCTAATCACCGGTCTTTTCTGTTTATCATCACGACGTAGGGGAACTTTCTACTGGCTCAAACTGACCGGAAAAGCCTGTCTGCGGTCTCCACCATCTGACAGCTGATCCGAGGGGCGCAAATGGCAGTCCGGGACTGTGTCACATTTCCTTTCTCTCCCACTCTCATTCACACAGTGCTGCTTACTCAAAAAAGGACACGACTAGGCTGTGGATCAAAAATAACAAGTGGGATTTCACTTCATCCTGAGCTGGTTAAGTACACTTTGTATTGACGGCCACAACAACGCCACGTTATTTGTAGGAAATTAGCCACATTAAAATATTTCACCAACATGTTGCTCTTCGTGCAGTGTGCTAAACATCTGGGGAATATATTGTTTTTGAGATGATCGTGCCTCTTGTCTTCTGTCGGTGCTCAGTAGATTTTCCTAAAACAAAGGACGGTCCTAGGGAATGGTTTCATTTTCTTCCATTAATAACACATATTAACCTAGAATGGCTCGCTCAGCGTGATGGTGCAATGATGAAGCATTTCCTTCTGGTTATTGCTCTGGTGAAGGATAGGGCAAACGCTCACTGCGTGTGAACTGCAGCTGCAGAGATCGTCAGCACAGGACGTGATCTGCATGCAGCAGTGTGTCCAGGTCGGCCCACACAAGAGCCCTGTCCTGTGATAAAACACTCGGAATGGACATTTCATGACTGCTCTGGTAATTCAGGCTTATGCCTTCTTGTAATGCAGCAGATCACTGTTAGAGATCAGCTTTGGAATCACCTTGTAGGGGAGAGAAATTAACTGCTGGTTGCTTGTTAACCCCTGGTGCTTCTCTCTTTCAACTCCTTGTTTTTAAATATGCCATATAAATAAACAGTGAATTTGATTTGACCAGATCCCACAGACATTTAATAAAACCCCAAAATCTTGTCCATGTCCTGTCAAAAGCAATCCTAAACAGACTGAAATCTAAATCAAGTGATGATTTAAAACAGTTTGCAGAATTGGCAGAAAAGTTACACTCAGAGCAATTAATGATTGATAAGTAAATAAATGTATAAATTTGTTTTAAAAAGCCCTACAAGCTGTACACCAGATTTAAAGCTTCTATATTTTTTTTTACAGGTTTCATTTAACAGCAAGTTTTGTATGCCATCATGGCCTTGCAATCATTTCAGTTAATGACTGTTAAATAAACCAAATTACTAAAGTTTTTAATTTATTATATATATTTTTATTACAGAGTCAATCTAATAAACAAATGTGCCTGTATAAATTAGAGAAAAATGCAGCTTTAAAATCCATTTATAAGCTTTAGTTTGATGGAAGATAAAACATCATCATATAGCAAGCAACAAATATATGTGGAGTTCTTATAGGCTGCTATGACTGCAAAGTACTACTGTGCCACAAGAGTCATACTAATTATTAAAATAAAGGGCCACTATCATCTACACTTTTTCATATATTTGCTAAATTATTCATTGGTAATGAATGACAGGGATGATAAATTATGAGCGTAGTAAATACTAACAGGTATATTTATGCTAGCTTTCCCTTTTCCTCTCACATTTCCTTCTTACTTAATAATGTTAAATGACTAATGCTTTCAGGGATGTGATGAATGTGTCAGAACGTGGCTTAATCAATATGAACTCTAACAAATTAGAAGTAGACTGAAACCTTTTTTGAATGTCCCAGGGGAAAATGCTATATATCGATTAGCTCATATAGAAAGCTGTAACTTGAGTAATATCTGCTGTCATCTTTAGTCATCTTGGATGTTGGCAGGGATCCATGTTCACATCCTGTCTCAGTTAAATGTGCCAGAGAATGGGAGAGCATTCAGTATATGAGTAAAGTGACGTTTACCTGTTATTTGGTCCAAAAGAGGGGGGTGTCAGGTCATGCTGTCATAAACCTTCAGAGTCCCACAATAAGCAACACTATTTTCCAGACCTAACTGACCCTTAACATTTCCAGTGGGACTGTAGCCATATTATCGCCAACACCAGTATAAGTTCTGTGTGGGTGTAGGAGTGAAGGCAAGTCTACAGGGTCATCAGGTGGGGCCCCTCTCACTAACTGGTGTTTCGTTGAGCTGGCCCCATGACACCGAGAAGGCTCAACAGTCTGTTCTAGCATCCCAGAATCACCCTGTACCCACACACCCAACACAATCCTTCATCTACTCAGGCTAATTCAAGCTAACTGCTACCAAACAGTCACTAGCAAACATTTCAACTGCTGTTCTAGACACCAAACATTATAAACGACTCACCAGAAAACGAACCAGACTTCTGTTTCCTTTTATACTGCATCAGAAACCATCTTATCTTAGTATGCAATTCAACAAACCAGTCAAACTTCTACAGTGCCCTCAAAATGGATTATGAACAGAAGAAATGAAGACGCCTGTTTGTTTTGGGCTTTTTTCAGTCCTTGCCTCCTAAGCTACAGTCTATGGCCATTAAGTGAATGTGTGTGTCATTTGCTTCCCTACCTTCAGGGTCAAAATCCAGCATAGTCTGCTGTTTAAATAAAAAAATAGTCAATTCATTTCGAAATAATTCTTAAAATCTTAAAACACTGAGCTCTGCAGAACCACATGCTGTAGTATTAAGTACTCTGTTTTTATTCCTACTTATCCCATTTCACAATGAGCATTCCTTTGTCTGTCTGCATTGTTTACTGTCTGTTTATACTGCTTATTCTGCATTGTTTGCACTGTTAGTTGCTTGTTAATACTGCTTATTTTGTTATATTACACAGCCTTATGCTGGTTTACTGTTTACTTGCCCTTGCATGAGGATATGCACATACACATTGAGAGCCGATGTACCAGAGACAAATTCCTCGAGTGTCCAACACACCTGGCCAATAAAGCTGATTCTGATTCTGATTGTGTAACTTTCCACTGAAAATAATTTTCTTTCCAGATTAAAATTTTCATCAAATAAAATAGCTTTGTTTTGTGTTTTTACTCTACACCACAGAAGAACTGTCTGAACCCACTACAAAGCATATGGGTTATAATAGTTGATTTTATCTAAAGATCCCTAAATATGGCAAGTCATGGTTTTTGCTGTACAGCAACAATATGCATTGTGATTACTTGTGTTTCAGTGAGATATGGAGCTGTGCTGTTTGACCGAGCACAATGCATCTGCAGCCTCCACTGTATATTAATGTGACATTGATCTCAGTAGCAGTAATTGCCCTTCATTACTAGAGTGTTTCTAGCTTTAGGACACATAGACACATGCACGAAACACACAGTGTACTGCTTCTGCTGAACAAATATGCAGCATTGTTGCTATGTTGTTAGAAAGGGGGAACTGTCTAGTGGCTTTTTTCCTTAGTTGAAATTCACAAGTGTGCTACATATATACAGTATATATATATATAGGTTAAAATACCAATGACTTATCAATAAATGAAAAGATCAGACCAAACAATAATTTGATCCTATAAACACAGCTTGTTACAGAGCATACACCTCTACGCAGTAGGCATCACTGTCATCAGAAAATCCATAAAAAGCATTTCACTGGGTTGCACTGGGTGACATATTTCCTTGTTATTGTCAACACGGACTCTCTCTTGTATTTTATACAGCATCTTGCTGCTCTACAAACTCACAACATCACCAAATGTGAATTAAATAACCCACAAAGACTATTTATTTGTGTGAATTTTAAAGACTTAAATCTTTAGTAGAAATACATGGGCTTGGGCCTGAGAGACAGAAAATACTGAGAGAGCGACAAACACATTGTTGGTTTTTGGCTTTCTGTAGGATTTGTTGACATTAACAAAAGGCTGTGGCGTGTTGCCAGCCTTATCCCTCATAATGACAGTCTGCACAAACCTAATGCAGCCTGTTATTTGAACATAATTATGATTATTCATTCTACAGTTACAGGCACTTACTTATGAATGTAGTATTTCAATATGCACAGTCTTCATTAGAATCCTCGCTGTCTACTGATTCTAGCTTCAGAGTGCATCGTTTAAACTGCTTTCGGTCGAGATGTATCATTAGCCGGGCTGATAGGCGGTGACCTGGACGATGGTTGCTCTGCTCTGGGAGGATTTACAGTTCTCTAGTGAATTATAAATGAGGTTCAGCTCTGTGGTGGTGGCAGTAGGTTAGGGTAACAGCCATCCTAGATGACAGCATTCCATCAGCAAGATGAAATCAGCCTCTTCTCTGGAGAATGCCTAGAAAAGGACATGGATTGAAGTGTTCTATAAGATCTGACATTTAACACGAGTGAGTGTTATTGATAACCTACATGTTGGTCATTGTGATGATCAGATATTATATATTTTGTTAATGACCTAAGCTGATGCACCATGATGATTTCTTGTGTATCATACATTATTATATATGTGCAGTTTTACTGAATGGCAGCACTAATAATTGCTCTTACATAATCATCTGTTTTCTAGGTTAGCAATCAGCACAACAGATCGTTTTCGGGTTCTTTTGGTCTTCAGTGTTGGATTACAACCAAGCGACAGGTTCTGTGGTTAACATGTCCTTCTCATGTAACTCAGACTGAGTCTGATGAAAAGCAGAATAAAATTATAATATAATAAAACTGCTCTGAACATGAGTGTGCTGTTATAAAAAAAAACAATCAGTTCATCACATTTGTCTATAGACAGAAGTCTTGACAATCTTGACAATATTGAGCTGACTTGAAATTTTACACAGACATTCGTGATCCCCAGATGATCAACTCTGCTGACTTTTATCTCCTGACCTTTCCAGTGGCACCAACCTTAACACTGATGTTGTGTCTTTTAGCAAAATGTCTTAACAGTTATTGGACAGATTACAATAAATTTTGTTTCAGTCTTGTGTTCTCCTTGAAACGAATCTCAATTCCTTGTGATCTGCTGGCCACAGACCATGCACACATTTTTGTGCTTTTGACTGAGGTGCAGTATCGAACTCTTAATGACACCTTCTCTTACACTTAAACTCCCTGAAGGATCAATAGTAATTAAAACATGTGTAATCAGCTCATATTCCTTCAAAGCCAGAGAGAAAAGAGGTGAACACAGATACAGCTCTCGGTGTGAAGGAAAACATCAAGAACATCTGTACTGTTTTTCTCTATTTCAGAGGAACAGGTGGGTACTGGGTAATCCTGCAGTCACACAGAACATCCTACTACAAGCGGAACTAGATTTTTTTATTTTTTATTTTTTTTTTATGATTTCCCAAACCTGTTCCAGAATCCAATCTAGGTTTATTGTGGATTATAAAAACACTTTTTTGTTTTTTTTGTTCGAGGTTTCATAGGTGACGATAAGGCAGTGGTGTGAGCCTGTGTGTCTATGTCTTATTTGGTTGGACTAGCCACTGTATATGTTTAAGTGCGTGCATATGCAGTTAAAGTTGAAAGGCGAATTGTGTCTTATCCTGTAGCAGTCATGTCTCCATTTAACATAAACCAAAAAAAATCTCATTCCAAACCAATAGCTTGGTAAAAATACCACCATATCCCTCATTTGCCTTTTGTTTCTTCCCCTGCTTAGCACATACTGAGGTTATGTTTAGGTAAACTCAGTTTTAATATGTATGCATGTGTGAGGACAAGATACCAAGAAAGTCTTAGAGATACTACTGTAATATCTGTTACAGTGGGTGAAGTAGGCAGCTGTTTTTCTACATGGACATTATAGTGGACACAGTGCCACCATCTGGCATAGCCGGCACGTTCAGGAGCCTGTTCAAGGTTTGCTGAGTTATGTGGATGATTTTTGTAGATTAAAACCAGAGCTTTATCAAATCTTAATCTTGGACCAATGTAAACATATCTGTTGAGACATTTATTCAGCATTTATCCAGATAACTGAGTTAACTTGCTTTTTACAACAGGCCTCAGCTCAGCAGTGACTTGAAAAATACATCTGTCAAGCAACATTTGAATGTCCTCATCTTCAAGCACAGTCTCCACAGTTAAATTAGTGCTTTTACATCCACGTAAAGAGAAACACTGCTACCATGGGACATAGCTTCAACATTTATTGGATTCATCCAGTGGTGGAAGCAGTACTTTGATGTTTTACTTAGTAAAAGTAGCAGTAAAACAATGTACAAACACTCATTATGCATTTAAAGGCTTACTAAAGTAAAATAAGTATTATCAGCAAAATGTACCGAAATGAAAAGTACAAGTGCTTTGTATGCAGAAAATGGAAAATGGGCACTGTGAGTTATTACATATTTTATTATTTTTTTCTAATTATTATTTTGGTTGCATTAATGTCTGAGCAGCACTTAATGTTGGAGCTGGTGGAGGTGGAACTCAGGTTAATTATTTACAGCATATATCATTGGGTAGTTTAACTTTTAATAGCTGCAGAGAATAAAGTGATCATAATATTATTTGTAGTGGAGAAAAAGTATAAAATAGAATGAAATAGAAATGTTCAGGCAAAAGTTCTGAACATACATCACTGAACTTAACAAGCCACATCTGTTCCAAAGCATCTACCTGTTTGACAATAATTCGATATTTACCAACTGGAACCTTTCACTGTTTAGCTTTTTCGAAACTGTTTCCAGTGGGCAGTGAGGTGGTGTGGTGGTTAGGACTGTCACCTCACAACAAGGAGGGTCTGGGTTCAAACCTTGCAGCCGAGTGGGGCCTCTCTGTGTTCTCTGTCTCCCTGTGTCTACGTGGGCTTCTTTAAGGTAGCTGCAAAGTCCTACCACAGACAATTAGGTTAGTTGATGACTCCAAAACTGCCTGTAGCTATGAGCGTTTGTTTGTTTCTCTGTGTCAGTCCTGTGATAGACTACCAAGCTGCCCAAAGTGTACCCTGGCCCTCGCCTAATGTCGGCTGGGATCGGCTTCAGCCACCCCTACATGTCCCCGTGACCCTCCACAGGATGAAGGAGTATAGATAATAGTTGAACGGATCTTTCAAGCGGCACAGTGATTCAGAAAAAACAAGTGTCTCTAAAAAGAATCATTCAGAACTTCTGATATGATCCTGTATGATATTATCCGACACTATGTATAAATCCCAAAGTCAAACAATACACAAATCTGCAGCAACAATTCACAACTGAACAGATATGATTCTGTCTACAGCCACTTTGTTTTAGTTGCTTCTCCATCGTATCTTAAAGACCTTGTAGAGCCTTATCATCCTAACAGAGCACTTCGCTCTCAGAGTGCAGGTTTACTTGTGGTTCCTAGAGTCCACAGAAGCAGAATGGGAGGCAGAGCCTTTAGCTATCAAGCTCCTCTCCTATGGAACCAACTCCCAGTCTCAGTTCGGGAGGCGGACACCCTCTCTACCTTTAAGATTAGACTTAAGACGTTCCTTTTTGATAAAGCTTATAGTTAGGGCTGGATCAGGTGACCATGAGCCTTCCCTTAGTTATGCTGCTATAGGCCTAGGCTGCTGGGGGCCCCATGATGCTCTGAGTTTCTTTCCCCTCCCCTCCTGCTCTGCTCTCCTCTCCTCTCCTGGCCCTGGAGCTCTACATCTCTGACGAGCAGTCACCAGCCACATCGACCTGATCAGTGTTTGATTGTTGTGTCTTGTTGCTTTTCTTCTTTTGTCTCTCCTCTATCCACTCACCCCAACCGGTCGAGGCAGAAGGCCGCCCACCAAGAGCCGGGGTCTGTCGGAGGTTTCTTCCGTTAAAGGGAGTTTTTCCTCCCCACTGTCGCCAAGTGCTTGCTCAAGGGGGATTTGTTGGGTTTTCCCTATGTAATAATATTGATAACAGTAAGGTCCTAGACCTTACTTTGTAAAGTGTCCTGAGATGACTTTTGTTGTGATTTGGCGCTATACAAATAAAATTTGATTTGATTTGATTTTCTCCATCCCCTGTTTGAGTGTCTGCTGTAATATAAACCCTCCTCCCCAAGTCTCCAAGGCAACATTCATCACTTTACCTTTTATCTTCAGTAAAATCACTCCAACACATTTTTGCATAAAGATGTCTGAAAATGTGGAAGGACAGATGCTTGTTTGTACACTGTGTTAGACATTTGCAAAGAAGCTCTCCTTCACTTGTGCCAGGCATTGTGCAGCCTGACTGAAAAAGCTCTGTGTGCTGTTGCTTTGCTGTTTTAAAACTCAGAGCTGGTTAATGTTCTTCACATGCCTCAGTACAGCACTGCTAAATGTGCATTTGAATTTGAACTGATTGTTTGTGTAGGTTGCAGTAATTATGTGTTGGTAAATGTAATGGCATGATTTTATTTCTGAGTGCGGCTGATATTTGTGCATCCATATCTATGGGTAGTTATTATTGGCAGGAGGGGCTCTCTAGGGTTAGTGCAGCGTCCTTTGCTATTTCTGAGTGCGAATGTGGAGACTATTTTCAAGGTTGCCATGGAAACCATTGTATTTGTGGTGGCAGTGATTGTTGCTGCCAGCCGAGCAAGACTATTTTTGTCATGAGTCAACACCTGATACACGCACTCTGATACACACACTCTCTCTCTTTCTCACAGCGCACACATATTCAGGTATGCATGCCTGAATACACACAAACAGCTACATTTTGTGCAAAAGCACACCACATACTTGCACTGGTTCAGTGAAATACATTATGTTACACAAGAATGTGTATGTTTGCCATCTTTTCTTGGTATTACCAGACATCTTAACACATCTTCACCATGACAACAGTAGTAATCGCTGTCCATTAAATTTCTCCACCCAACTGCATTGTGTTTTCTTATGTTCTGCTGTCCAGGCATGTTTCATGTTTGATGTATTGACAGTAACAGACAGATGATGTTAGCTTGTTTAGACACATTATAAATAGACTTACATAAAGTGAAATTAAAGGAGTCTAATTACAAAAAGATTTCTTCATATTTGTCTACCGCTTTGCAGTATGACGTTTCAAGGTAAAAGGTGCTTGGACTGTAAGACAGTAGATAAAAAAAAACTATGCATTCTGAAAATAATAATAACTCTGGGTTACAGTAAAGAAATGTGGGGTAGTGCTGTGTAGTATGGCTGAAACTAACAGTGTTATTTGAACTAAATCGGTTACAGAATCAATAAACCTTCTAGATTAATTAATCAATCATTTTTGTCAGTAATAGAAAAAATACCCATCACAGTTTCTCTAGGCCGGTGGTTAAATATTGCATTCATTGCAGCTCTAGTATGTACAGAAGTGGTACTCTATACATAATATTTCTAATATAATATCAGAGCAGCAAGTAGCTATCAGTTTTGATGCAGAGCGTACACTGATATGTGGGCTGAAGGCAACAAACAGTGTCATATCTCAGCCAGATGACCTCAGTTTTCGCACAGACTTAACTAGTGACATCATTATAATAAGGCTATTATTGAACTAGATGAATCAATCGATTCATGAGAAGTGCCGCAAATTAAAACATGCTTTTTAATGGTGAAAAGGGAGCAAGACATGACTTTCATAAAATGCAAATGTTATGTGTATTATCATGGGGAACCTTACAAATGCAAATTAAAAATACCTGGGACTTCATGCCAGATCCTTAATTAGAGTAGCCTTACCCATAATAGCCCAGATTTCATTGTCCTCTGCAGAAAGAGCAATGAGATGGACTGTATATGAAAAAGATCACCTTGGCAACAGGAGCCCCAGTTTGAGAAACTGGGATGGTGGAGGTTGAGGCCTGGCCCAATCAGTGCCTCATAGTCTCAGTAAATCTTGTACAGTAGGGCACTTTAATCCATGAAATTACTACTGACAAAAACTTGGAGAGGAACAAGAAATAAGAAATGAGATATGACCGGTTTAGTGCATAATGCACATGTAAGTATTTATGAGTAGATGCCAAGAGGTCACTTAGAAGACATCTGTTAAGAACAGGAGTTAAAAAATTTATGTCAAAGAATTTCTAGAACAAGACTAAATAAGCTAGATGCCCCATGTGCACTCATTACACACTGGGAAACAAATCTGTTGGATGCAACTTCATGATTCTATAAGAGTTGAAAAATGCTAGGTTTGGCCTGAAGGTACTACCTAAATCTAAAATTCTCTGTAGAATAGCCATTTTAAAATGTACATTGTCTTTTAGGCTTAGCGTTGCAGTGCCAGACTTGGCCCATATTTGATCAGTGTTATACCTCGCTCATGTCCTTTTGTTCAGACTGTTGTTTTTCTGAGACATCAGGGGTTCTTGACAGCTACAGCATCTTCCACTTAGTTTGAAATGTGTAATAAACAAAAGTGTTGGGCAAGTAGAAATTTTGACCTTAGGATGGCGTTAGAGGTAAGTTAAGGGGATCATAAATCTGTCTGTACAAAATTACATGTCAATCCAATAGCCAATGAGATATATTCTAATATAGTAAAATAAGATGCAAAATTTTGGACTAACAGGCAGGTAGTGTCATCTTCTGTCACACTCTGATGGGGTGGCTACAAACATCTATTTACAATAATAACTACAGTGACAGCATAACATTTACCCTGAGCCATCACATTCAGGTCTGACATTCTGAGGGTAAAATTTACAGTACAGTACAGACACTAGGACCCTGAGGAGATAGCAGCTCTGGTCCTGTTTCTCACTGCCTCCTGTTCCATCTCTGCAGTCACTGAGTGTGAGTGGATGGGGAAAGCATAGAGTGAGCTGGTGTCTTTGCAAGCATTTACATCAGTATTGTTTCAGAAAAAAAATCTCTGCTGCCACAGTTGCAGTCACCCAGGGAGGAGGATGCACAAGGCAAATCAAGAGACGGGAAGAGAAAGAGGCTCTTACAGTTGGAAGTACCTCAGCAGCATTCACAAGGTAGAGTGATTGATGACCACTGTGAACCTCAGCAGTGGGAGCTAAACCAGGTTTTCATCTTCAGAGACCAAAGCAGCAGACAGCTGCATCAGGAAATACTCTGATTTAGGTACATAATTCTCTCTGCCTTGTCTCTCTGTTTCTTCCCATCACTCTTCATGATTCTCGCCACATTTTCTCGCTTGTTCTCATCCTCTTCCTTTTATCTGCTCGTTATATACTGTTGAATGCAACGAATAGGTCTACCTCAAATGTAATGTGATATATACAATGCAGGCCCTGCTTTGTACAGTGGGTGTAATGTATTAATGATTAATATATAAATGAGTAGGTGGTAAGACATGACTAAACCAGGCAGGAGGGTTAAACTTGATTGGGAATACCCTTAGGTGTGATTTAGAGCCACTATTAAAGGCAACTATTCATAGGTGATGAGGGAGGTTAGAGCTCAGTTTGTAGCCTTATTTGTACTATTGTCACTGTAGACAAGCGACAGAACATCCCAGACTTTTGTCACAGCTGTGGGAGAGAACACTGATAGCAGCAATGAAATGGATTTCCTTGATCACATACATACAGTAGCAGCCACCTCCTGTATGTCTGTTTGCTGTGTAAAAGCTAGGCACAGGTAATCTGCAGACAGCCTTTGAATACTCAGGTTTTCCTTTAGAAACATTCAATTCATGTGCACTGAGTGGGCTTCCTTGGTGGCCTACATGCTAGTGTGTCTAATGTATAAAATTAAAATCCATACACACTGAACCTGGACCTACATACTTGGGATACACATTCCAGAAATGGGTTATTGTATTTTGCCGGGAAAGGTATCCACAGGTATACATAGTCAAATTTCATTTTAATGTGTGCACTGTCTGCTGTATAGTTGAATGACAAATAAAGTATCTATCAATCTAACAGTAGCTCTCACAGCAGGTGTAGATGCACTGGAAAAGGTCTGTTACCTGTTAGGACTGGTTTAAAGGAGCTAGCTTGCATTCATACATTGACAGGATGTGTGCTTGAAAAGCATTTATAATCTGCAGCTACTCAGGATGGACCAGCCTGGATTTACATCTGATCATTTGTACCACAATGTTAGTAAAGCCGGAAAAAAAAGCAATCCAAAATCCTTTACTTGCCTTTTCTAGAGGATCAGTGTGACCATGCACAAGTGTTAAACATCATGATTTGGTCGGTCCTCTTAGCATATTTTAAAAAGGTGGTAAATGTCCCTATATGGAATAATGCATACTTGACTGAGTTCATTGGCTTGAAGACTGACCTTGAATTACTTTAATAGAATGGTAAGATTTTAGAAGCTGAGGAGGATTTCATATGAAAATACATCACAGTGAATTCATGTTAATGGTAGCTGGAGCAAAAGGGAAACTCAACCTGTTTGGTAGGATTAGTTCATATAACCCAGAAGTGGAAATATAAGGACACCTATGACATACACTCACAGCTCATATTCCTTTGTGTTTGTTTCTTTTTTTTTAGGGTCGGTTCTTACTAATCGCAGACATGAAGATTTTCTAAACAGACAGGAATCATAAAACCTGAACTTCCTGACAATCACAGCATCATCCTGACTACAAGGCAGGGACCTCATTTTCAAGCCGCTCTTTTCTGGCCGTACTTTCTGGCTTTGAAGGATGGGTGATGGGCCTGTGAGTTATCCTGCCTGCCTGCCTCATCCCGCCCTTCAATGGAGCCAGCGTGGAACTCCTCCCAGACACCTCCACAGCTCATGTCCAACACCTCTGCCTCCTCTATGCCTGAGAGCTGGGCTCTGTCCCAGTCGCTAGCCCTGCTGGCCATGCTGCTCATGGATCTGCTGGCTGTGGTGGGTAATGTGGCTGTCATGGCCGTCATTGCCAAGGCTCCACAGCTCCACAAGTTTGCCTTTGTGTTCCACCTGTGCGTGGTGGATCTGCTGGCAGCCCTGGTGCTGATGCCCCTCGGCATGCTCTCAAACCGAGCCTTCTTTGGGGAGGCCCTGTGCCGGAGCTACCTCTTTCTCAGTGTGTGCCTGGTCAGCGCTGCCATCCTGTCTATTTCTGTCATCAACGTGGAGCGTTATTATTACATCATACATCCTATGCGCTATGAAGTAAAGATGACCATTGGCCTTGTAGCATCAGTACTGGTGGGGGTATGGGTCAAAGCCCTGGCCATGTCTGCTCTGCCATTACTCGCTTGGTTCCTGCAAGGTGGACGAACTCCTCTTCTGGAGAGTAGTGGGGTTGGAGGAGGAGGAGGAGGAGGAAGTGGGACTGTCCTGTCACCCCCTGCTCAGGCTCACAGGCGCTGCTCACTGCATTGGACCGGGGGAGGCTCCAACCGCTTGGCCTTCATGGTCCTCTTTACTCTGGTGTATTTCCTGTGTCCACTTCTGGTCATTATTGTTGTATACTGCAATATGTTCAAAGTGGCTCGGGTAGCTGCCATGCACCATGGGCCTCTGCCTACCTGGATGGACACACCTCGTCGCCAGCGGTCAGAGTCACTCAGTAGTCGCTCAACTATGGTCACAAGCTCTGGTACGGGGACTGGGACAGGAAGAATGACTCCACAGCGCCCCTTTGGGGGAGGAAAGGCTGCAGCAGTGTTGGCAGCAGTAGGTGGGCAATTCCTTTGCTGCTGGCTGCCCTACTTTACTTTCCACCTGTATTCAGCACTGGCTGCCAGCCCTCCAGCTACACTGGCCTATTTGGAGGAGGTGGTTACCTGGATTGGCTATTTTTGCTTCACTTCCAATCCCTTCTTCTATGGTTGTCTCAACAGACAGATCCGGGAGGAGCTGGGCAAGCATCTGCCATGTCTGTTTCGTCGAACAGGGGTTGAGGTGGAAGACAGACTTCCCAGTCGTGAAGGATCCATAGAGGAGAATTTCCTTCAGTTTCTTCAGGGCACTGGCTGCAACTTGGATCCTCAAAACTCTCACAGCACCTCCAGTCCTAAGGGGGAGGCCTGTTGCCCTGTGGCTCAGTCCCAACCACCTGAGCCAGCACAGGCCATACCCATTGATTTCCGTATCCCTGGACAAATTGCAGAAGAGACTTCAGAATTTATCGAGACTGAACAGGCAAAAAACAACCATATATATCCAGACAAGTGAGTTTCTAATGTCTTTACTCCTGAAAATAAGTCTAATTTTAGCATTCAGATACAAAGTGTTTCATGAAAACGTGTTTCTCTATTTTTACTGAAAGCTGACTGCTGAAATGACTTTAAATTGTATCTTTGAATCATTGCACTTTGCATCATTGGATTTCATCTTAGTTTTTGAAAACAGTCATGGTGATATAGTTAAATGCATTTATTTGAGATGCGTTCAGTCCTCTGTTTGTAACCAAGGAAAATTACTGCTAGTTTACAAAAAAAAAGGATGTATTTTGACCTTCAACACAACTGCTCAGCTCTGTACAGTAAACAACTCAGTTAATTAACATTAATGTGCCATTTTAAAATAAAAAACTTTAAATATGTTTGATTCTATGATGCAGAATACTTTTCAGACATACATTTGATCAGAATATTCCATTTGATCTCAAATTAGAAAACTATTGCTGGAAAACAGCAGCTCCCTCCCAGTGAATTACTTTGCTATTGTGCGGAGATGTTCTGCTATTGGACAAATTGCCTTTGGTGTTCAGAAATGAAGTTTCCACATATCAACAGATATTGTATTTACAAATACCAAATCAATCATTTTTGAAATGCTGGCAAATTAAAGTGTTTTATAAATTACTGCGAGAAAAGTCATGTCAAAAAAGACAGCAATAAAATACACAAATTTGTGAGTATTTAAGGGACTCGCTGAAGAAAAGCACTACTGTCACTTTTGATTGGTAGGTCAGCTTTCACCAGTGACAATGCCACTCTAACCCTTAACCCATGTTAGATTAGAAGGTGTTATATATTGTGGCCTAACTCTCATGGATTTGCTATGAACTGTTTATAGACAAACTTCTGAATTTTGTTCTTCTTTCTTTGGTGCTTGTCCAGACATTCTTATTAGATTTTCTAAAAAGCAAGTCAGATCTGTTGTGACTCAGTTTAGGATGTAGGCTGACTTTATAACTCATCTTAAGAGTCACCCAGCTTTCTGCCAGTGATGTATTTATCAGTATATTTGGATATAGATCTTGCATTTGTTAAATGTAATAAACTGTATGTTATGTTTAGTAAAACTATATAAGGTTGAGTTGTGTATTCCACTCAACACACCAATTATTATTATTATTATTTTTTTGTGTAAGCATTTATTTCATTACAGGGAGGCTGATCTATTTTGACAAGTATGCAGTAACTGCCTTCTTTGTGTGTTTTTCAGCTGTGGAAACTCTTATTCCAAGAGGAGGATACATGTAGATGTTTTGACTGCCTTTTTACAGTACCTCAGACGCAGGAAAAAAGATTATTTATCAGTGTCAAGTGTGACTCCTGCACACTTTCTTCTAATGTTGTACGGTGACTAAAGACGACATGATTGCTTTTTGAGGTTTTATTAGAAACGAGGGCGCAGACTTCGCTAAGGTTTGAAGCTTGTGCTTGATGATGACATGAAGTAGTATTTTATAGTAAACTGATTACAGTATGTGGAAATGTTTGATTAAAACAGCAAATCCTTTCTTAATGTGGACACAGGGTTTTTAAGATATCTTTCTCAGAGGTTGTTTTTGAGTGACAAAGCCAATCCCAAATCTCTTTTCATCATGTCTAAATATCCCAGACTGTGAATGCTGTTGAGTGTTTGTGTGATGATTGTTTTTATGCTGTGATTAAAATAAAAGATTGACTTCCAATGTACTGCTATGATATGAATGTGTTTAGAAAAAAAAGCATGGCTAAAACATGAGTGCGAGATACTGTTATAATAAAGAGTTTCTATGTTTGTAAAACATTTTTAACGTATTCTGGTCATTTTGTTAATAGTATGGCGCTGCTGCTAGCTATTATCTGCTTAATATTTTAGTTCTCTACATCTCCGTGCACTGTCACTGTGTTTTTGTACTCTGGGATTCAGTGTGCGTGGCCTAATCTTCCTGCTTTGCTTTGATATTCCATTGCAAGAGGGGCGTGGGAGGAAACGGTTCAAACACTTTGACCTTACGGTAACATTTAAACTTCAAAGGCCAAAGCCAGTGATATGACCTTCATCACAAAAAAAAAGATATACCTGTCAACCTAAATAGGCAGATACAGGTAGATGGGTGCATAGATGTAAAGGAAAAATTGTGTTTAATGTTGTGTTTTGGTTGGAAGATACTTGTGTATGACAGGCCTCACACCTCAACGATGGACCTCAGTCAAACCGCCCCCAGCTTCACCAGGCTCTGCTATCCCCATGGCAATTATTACCTAGTGACATTTCTCAGTGCTGTAGTGGGCGGTAGGAGGAGCTTCCTCTACTGGGAATCCAGCAAGGCACCCTAATCTTTAACTTCTTAAAATATACCTTCTAAACTAAACCAGAGCTGACAGTTGTTTTTGTCACAATTTTGGGATTGCTTGTGTATTTCAAATTGTAAACTGAAATGACCCTTCCTGTTCTGCTGTTTAGAATTACCTTTGATCATTCCCATGTAATCTCGAATTGCTTTATCTCTTTATCTTAAAAATGTAAACATAAACGCTATAATATCAGGCAGACTGTCCCTTATCATGATCCAAATTCAAAATAATTTCTGTATACCTGAGGGAGAGCAAAGGTCATTTAACTGGAACAAAAACATGAACCATGCCCTGGAAAGTAGTCACAACAGGAAGTGAAAGATTGAAGTGAACATTTAGAAATGCTCAAGAAAAAGCCCCATATGAATGTTTATAACACATAGTTTCTTATGGAACAAAGATCTGGAACACTAAAAAGACCTAAATGGATCATGTACATGCTAAAAGTGGCAATAATACGATTATTTGCTACTTAGGGGCAATGGAACTACCTGAACAGAAAACACAGTGCTACACTCATTATATATAGTTGTTATGGCAAATATCTTAGCACACAGTTGCCCATTTATGTATGCAGCAGACAATGTTCGCTCTTTTTGTAGCTCTATTTTGGTCTCCACCAATGTCTGAGCCAAACATGTGGCTCTTTAGCTGCTAAAAGCTACACTATTTTCACCAGCTTGTCGCTAACCTTGTCTGATGTTTGGTGGTGAGCAAGTGTCTTCAGGAGGAAACACACTGAAAACGTGGAAACAGTAAAGTTGTAGGCTGTAAAACCAAAATGATGAGGTGAAAGATGCTAAAATGCTCTACAGAGCTACAGTAAGGGAAAAGCTGTGATGATTTTCTGTGGGATTGTCACTATAAGCAACACATTTTAGTCATTTGATCTGTTAATGTAAAGTATTTATTCCTTTGTAACACATTATTCTTACACCACTTGAGAAGGATATTTATAGAGTAGATCCTGTGTCACTATCAAGGGGGTGTATGGTCTGCCATTTAATATGGTAACAGAGTAGCCAAGATAAGCCTTGGTTTCAATCAAGCATTTCTGGGAGATTTGAACAACAGTTTTCTATGCATTCTGCTGCCTCTGTATAGATCGAGGGCCGAGCTGTTACCCTAAAATCTTATTTTAGTTGCAATTTTTAGTGACCTTGTCAATATTGTCCCTGGATGAACCCAAAAAGTTGACTCCAGATGGAGATTCGTGCTTTCCAGTGCATGGTTCCTTCTGCTGGTTATCAAAAGTGGAAGCAGATGGACAACATCTGATCTGATTTGGATCTTTTAGGGTATGATACACAGTCATACTATACACGTTACCTGAACATTTCAGGGCTCTGTCTTCATCAAGATGATCCAGCTTTGATCTGGATCAAGGATTTTAGGACACATTTTGGGGTGTTCTGGATCTCATTCTTCACAAGGGACCCATTTGTGTGAGTGCCTTGGCAGAGGTACATGCGCTCTCTGTGTGCTGTGAATAACTTTTTTGGGCAAACCAGAGAGGACAGCCTTACAATGGTTTAATCTGCTGGATATAAAAGCGTGACCCTTAGTCTCTGTGTCAGTCCAAGAGAGAAATGGATGCACTTTAGTGATATTTTTAAGATGATAAAAAGAAGATTTGGTGACAAATCCATATTATCCTTAAAAATCAGTTCTGACTCAAATGTAACACTGAGGTTTGTGGCCTGCTGTTTGCTTTGGGCCAACCCTTGAAGATTTTAGAGTAAATTCAGTCTTATTAAATATGACTCATTGCTATGTAGTATTTAAACTGGCCAAAAGTGAACAGCTCCACTTTGACCAGCTGCATAAAGTGCCTGATAAACACAGTGATGCATCACTATAATCCTCTAATATGAAATGTGCAGTTCTGCACAATGAGTAGTTTTACTCCCGGTACTTCAGTAGATTTGATTGTAATATTTTTGTACTTTTACTTAACTAATATTTTGAATGCAGGATGTATTGCTACTTTTACTTAGGTATAGAGTACTTCTTCCATCACTGGTAACTATGACAAGACTGTCCCTTGTGTACAACAAAACTCTTTTGAAATGCAGCTGCTGGGGACAAGGCCTTATCAGACTTTACCTAATCTGGGTTATTCCTGTGTGGGCGACCTTTGAACCCTGACAGTGGGCGGCGCCTTTAAAAGTAAAACTTCCCCTTTTGAGAAAACGGCTTTTTCCTGATGACTAAACTCACTGGACTTCTGGTAACAATTTACCAGCTTGACTTACATTGTTGATGCCTTTACCTGTTAGGAATTGCTCCGTTAGTTAGGGTAGCTTATAACGTAACGCTAACGGGAAGTCGGTTATGTGGTCATTTAGTCTGACGTTATCACACATTAACTTAACGTCAGGACATTACACAACAGCAGACTGTGTAACCCAAGCTAGCGGGAAGTAGCTGTAAGTCATCGTTACCTTTGCGAAACTGTCTTTTCCACAAACTACGCGATGCCTTTACAGTGAAGTAACTTTGGCCGCATCTCTCTCCAGGTCTCGGTGTAACGGGCGGCTCGTTAGCTTGTGACCGTGTCGCCGTGTGTGTTCTTCGGGACAACTTCTGTCTCCTTGTGCCACAGTTTCCTTCAGCTCTCGGCTGGTCCTCAACAATGGCAAGTGGTAAGTCAGCAAGCAGTGACAGTACAACACAATATAAATACTTTGTTATGGTCAGGGTGGCCTAAAACATAACCCAGTATAAATATAAACTGTTCCGTCCCCTCTGTGTTTTCATGAATTATTTGACACCAAGCAGCTCGAATATTCAGTACTTACATCAGTTAGTCACAGGTCTTTGTTGGGTCTTTGTCTTTACTGGTCTTGCAACATCCAAAGCGGCGTGTACGTTTTCTGACGCAGTAGGAATAGATATATGAAACAGTCTATCATTAGGGGCCATTGGCTCAAACAAAACAAGCAGTTGACTGTGTTTGTAGAAAAGTACAGATATTTTAAGAGCATGAAAATCAAAAATCCTCTTAAGTGCAAAACAAGCTTGCATTAAAAAAAAGTTATTTCCCAGGCCCTGTAATTAGGTGAAAGCTACACTAATCCTGGCTTTGCTTTGCTTTGGCAGCATCAGTCTTGTAATGCAAGGTGTATGCCATCTAATTGGTGAAAATGATTCTGTGTCTGAGTTGGATGACACTTTGCATTTCAGTTTACCTATAAAAAGTCCTTACAGGGAA